CCAAATCCCAAAAAATCCCCAAAAAATACCAAATAAATCCCAAATAAATCCCTAATAAATCCCAAAAAATCCCAAATAAATCCCAAATCCCAAAAAATCCTAAATAAATCCCAAATAAATCCTAAAAAAAAAACCCCAAAAAAAATCCCAAATAAACCCCAAAAAAACCCCAAAAAATCCCAAATAAATCCCTAATAAATCCCAAAAAATCCCAAATAAATCCAAAATAAATCCAAAATAAATCCCAAAAAAACCAAAAAAAATCCCAAATAAATCCCAAAAAGCCCCCAAAAAATCCCAAATAAATCCAAAATAAACCCCCCAAAAAATCCCTAATAAATCCCTAATAAATCCCAAAAAATCCCAAATAAATCCAAAATAAACCCTAAAAAAATCCCAAATAAATCCGAAAAAATCCCCAAAAAACCCCAAAAAATCCCAAATAAATCCAAAAAAAACCCCCAAAAAATCCCCAAAAAACCCCAAAAAATCCCAAATAAATCCAAAAAAAACCCCCAAAAAATCCCTAATAAATCCCAAAAAATCCCAAATAAATCCAAAAGAAACCCCCAAAAATCCCCAAAAAACCCCAAAAAACCCCCCCAAAAAATTCCCCCAAATTCCCGGAGAACCCCCGGAACTCCCGGAGAGCGCCCGGCGCGGGCGGGTGACGCACCGGAAGTGCAGGCGGCGGCAGGGCCGCTCGGCGCCCGAGGCCTTGACGCACTCCTCCTTGGTGCCGTGGTCGCAGAACTCCTGCACCTGCGCGCGCCCGCGCGACCGGAACTTCTCCACGATCGACTGCTCCTTGGCCGTGGTGGTGTTGAGCAGCTCCAGGATCTCCTGGCTCACCTGAACGGGACACGCCCCTGCTTCAGGCCACACCCACTCATTCAGGCCACGCCCACTGCCACGCCCACCCATCGTGAGATATCGTCTTGAACCCGTCTTGAACCTCCACCATCTTGAACCTCCATCTTGAACCTCCACCATCTTTAATCTCCACCATCTTTAATCTCCACCATCTTGAACCTCTATCTTGAACCTCCATCTTGAATCTCCTCCATCTTGAACCCCCACCATCTTTAATCTCCACCATCTTGAACCTCCATCTTGAACCTCCACCATCTTGAACCTCCATCTTGAACCTCCACCATCTTTAATCTTCTCCATCTTGAACCTCCATCTTGAACCTCCTCCATCTTGAACCTCCACCATCTTTAATCTCCACCATCTTTAATCTCCACCATCTTGAACCTCCATCTTGAACCTCCACCATCTTTAATCTCCACCATCTTGAATCTCCTCCATCTTGAACCTCCATCTTGAACCTCCA